GCTGATAAGAAGATAAACAAAATGAGGTATATCTATGCAATGGAATATTATTAAGCAATCAAAAGCCATGTTGCCCTGTGACATGTTACAACATAGATGAAGTTAAGTGAAAGAAGCCAGTGATAGAGATAGCAGATTGAGAGTCAATTTTTATGACTAGGCATATGTATGTTCAGAAAATAGATTAATGACTCTATAGAGCTTGAGGTATTGGAAGAAAATAGGGAATAACTGTAAATGGCTGGGGCTTGATTTGGGGCTGATGAAAAAATGTTCTAAAATTGTGATTATGGTTGTATATGTCTGAGTAAACTGAAAACCACTGAATTATAAGTGTTAAAGTAAAAACTTTATGGCATGCCAATTATATGTAAATATGGCTACTATAAAAATAATACCTGTCTATAGGATAGATTTTAGAGACATAATAAAATAAAATAGAAGAGTAATGAAATATTTAAATGGTCTCTCCATGCCTTTACAGTCTAAGAAACAATACCTTGTATCTTTGCAATGTGAGTAAATATACCTCAAGAAGAATGCTTGATGAATTCATTGTGTGTGTGTGTGTATGTGTATGTATGTGCATGAGTATACTCCAGTATTGGGGCTTGAATTAAGGGCCTAAGCATTGTCCTTTAGCTTTTTTCCTTCAAGCTACTGCTGTACCATTTGAACTGTAATTCTACTTCCATCTATTTTTACAGGTTAATTGAAGATAAGAATCTCACAGACTTTCCTGCCGAGGCTGGCTTTGAACCGTGATACTCAGATCATAGTCTAGGTAGTTAGGATTATGGATGAGAGCCACTGGTGCTCTGTGCATTCACCTTTTAAGATTTGGAATTAGGAAATTCTCTAGCTACTATATCCTCAGGCCAAACACAGTTTCTTTTTTCTTTATGACTTAAAAAAAATTAGTAAAAGTAATAGGCAAGTTAATTAAGAAAAAAAAAGTGGAGCTGTGGTTCAAGTGGTAGAGTGGTAGCCATAAGGAAAAAAATAACATTTGGAATTTGAGGAATTCCAAACCCCGGGCCCACCTTTAGGACTGAGATTAGGTAAGCAGCAATGTCAATATGATAACCTAGGGTAAAGTTAAATTTTATTTAAGTAGATGATGACACTAATTGTTTAAATTAATGTAATCATTTAAATTATTTAACTTAAGTTCTTGACAAGACATTGCAATTGTGGGGGACTGGTCCAATTTAGATTTTCATAACACTGTATGGTTATTTCAAAACAATGGCCTCTAGTGAGACCTTTTCTGGACATTGCTGCAAATACCTTGGTCAGAAAGATGAATGGAATTCCATTTGTCATGGAGCCATGACTCAGTCTAAGAAGACGTGATTTTTTTTTTGGTCTGAGTGCACTTTGTTCTTCCTAAACAGCTTATTGAGCCCAGAATTGATGCATAGTCCCTACTAGGTTCTAGAGAACAGAGCTCACTAGGTTCTAGGCTCTAGGTGCAGCTCTTAGAGAGCCGGTTGTTCTTACCCTTGTAAGAGACCTATTGCACATGCTGAATGGTAGTTTGTAGAGGTCTTGGAATCTACTCTTCATAAGATGTATGCTTTTTTCATATTAGTAATTTGCATTGACACCTTGAAAATGTTTTCAAATATAAAACTATTTGCACAAAATGGATTTGTATTCTTAGTTCCAAAAAATGAGTTCGATTAGGATGGCCTTCAAAATATCTTCTAAATTTAATGCTCTAGCCCTTTGTCTATGACTTCCAGATTTTTCTACTTGGTAATTTCTTTTTTCTTTTTCTTTTCAAATTCTTTATTGTGATTAAGTGGTTACATAATTTCCCAAATTTCACAGTATTGTGGATAATGATGCTTAGTTAAAGTCACAAACACATTCTAACTTTCATGGAGCAAAGTGTCTATCATGGTGTATAACATTTATGAGTTCTATGAGCTTTGCAATACAGTTATTTCTTCCACATTGGGTGATATGTACATTTCTTTTGTTTTGCATAGCATGAGCTGTTCCCTCTTTCCACTTGTTCCCTCCCTCCCATCACTGCCATTGAGTTGCTTAGTTCATTTTGATCAATGTCCAGTGCAGCTGATGGGTCCCACTGTTATATGTTTTTCCCTGATTCCCTCTAGTTCTGTATTGTCGTCCTGATTTCCCTCCGTATATGTATATTCTCTCCCATATATATACCATATATGTGGTCAGTAACATGGGGTTATTTAGTTCTACTAAATAGCTACAGGGAAATGTCTAACACAGCAGGCAGCTGTCTTTTCTGTAGACCAGGTGCAGTTTTGTACAAAGATCAGTGTTCTGTCAGTTAAATTATGGTTACATATATACCACATAAAGCACAAGAGAAGCAAATTACCTACAACCCATTTTCTCTGGGGTACCAGGTTTCAGTGTTGTTGGATTTTTGTGACTACTTGGCCTTCATGGGGTATAGCTCATCTGTTAGTGGAAACTATATGCCTTTTCTAATTTGTGCTTCTTTCATGATCACATGCTGTTTTTCAAATTTAAATTTCCCTGCTTCCCCATATGTACATTATTTCTCTGAAGACACTATAGTTAATACTCAAAGTACTGTATTACAGTGCCTATTTCAAAATATATAGAAGATGGATTTTCTTCTTGCAATAAATGTAGATGTCATTCAGGGAGGCAGAGCAAACCTGGATGAAATAAGGCAAGAAAAAGTTTTGAAGTAACAAATTGGCAGATGCTATTAAATACTTTGTAACACTGAACCCTCTGCAGGGATAACAACCAGAACAAATGTACACAATTAGGCCACTAGAAAAGGTTTCCCAAAATTGGCGAAATTTATTTGGGGTTATGAGAAAGACAAATTTGGATTAAAGAAAATTTGCAAAAAGGCACTTTAGACCAAAGGTATGGCTGACTTTGGTGCAGGGGAAAGAAAGGAGGTTGTGAAACCATTAAAAGTTATCTCCTTTCTTCATGCAGTAATTTAAGATGAATTGGAAAACATATTTATCAATCCATCATATCTATCCCTCACTTCTGCTCCTATTTATTATAAATCACCAATATATTTGACATCACTTGATATGTATCACTGTATATACAAGACCAGCCCCAAATAGTGTAATACTGTTTTTTAATTTTCTCCTACATTTTCTGTGCTCAGTCATTTGTCATCGAATTGAGTCATTTATATATTTTTGACTTTGTTCCTGTACATTTCATTAAGTAATTGTAAGCCAGGCAAAGTTCATATGTTAACTAAATGACTCCCTATCTCTCATTTGCTGTTGTTGTTTTTCCTCCTAAATAGAACAAATGTCTTCCTGAAAACATTTACTGCAGTCACAAACTGCTGTTTATGGCCATTAAAGAGATAAAAATTTGTAAACTCAAGTTAGTGCTGAGTTTTATAAGTGCTGTTAAACCAGTGTGTGTGGGAAGCACTATCTAACTGAGTGTTGGGAGGTGGAGACTTAATTTTCTGTGCTTCTTATTGTCAGCCAGAAATGGCTAGACCAAAGCAGAGAAACCCTTCATGAATGCAGAGTCAAGGTGGCTTCCTGTTTTGTTTTAGGTTGTGTTTCCTTTCCTTCTCAGTGAATGCTGTGTTTTCTGACTTTATGCAATACCCTCGCCCAGGGCTCAGGGAGATCCCATTGAGAGGGCTTGCTGCTAGGGGTCCTAGCACTAAGGTCATTCCTGGTACAATGCCTGAAAGGGAGGGAGCAGAGGGACCCAGAGGGGAGGAGGAGACGCTGAAGACTGTGGAAAGAGCAACCCCAGAGAAATCTGTTTTCTATTTTCTCTTCCAGACTGAACTCATTTGGATGGAAGGGTTTTATTATTGTTATCATCATTTCCATTACCTGTGTGGGGGGTAGTTTTCCTGCACATTTCTTTCAAGTGAAATTGTTCTTGAGAAGCGGTAGATAATAAGTGCTATTTCACATCAGTGAAAAAAACAGAGAGAAATAGTCAAGAGCGTCGAAGAAGTTTTCCATTTTAAGCTTTAATATTTAAAAACTCAAAAGTTTTCATTGTTCTGGGCAAAGAAACATGTCAAGGAAAAAGAAAGGACAGAGAAACACAGAGATACAGAGACAGAGAGAGATAGAAGGAAAGGGGGGGGGGAGGAATTGAAAAAAAAAAGAAGAAAGAAGGAAAGGAAAAAGTAAAGAATCAATTCCTGGCTACTGGTGGCCGATTTGTCACCATGTCCAACACATCTCTTTCTGTACGGTACTTTTGGCAAGCTACTTCGAATGCAGACGACTGCAGCCCTCAGCCTCGGTCTCTGTTCACAGGAGACACGGGTATTTAAAGCCACTTTGCTTAAGCCGTGCTCTAGCTCTGATTTTCTGCAGAGCGAAAAGCTGACCAGTCGTTTGCTGAAAGAAAATAGCTTCAGGGAGTGAGGGGCTGGCGTGGGGCGGGCTACCAGTAGGTTCTTCAGTCCGCAGCCGCAGGGGGCTCCAAAGAGAGACGGACGTCCGGGGACGCTGTCCTGGGCTGTACCTCTCGCCTCACCCCACCGCCTCCGGGCCACGACCCTCGCCCCATCCCTCGCCCACTCCCATTCTGGGAAGAGGACTCGGTCGGACCGGCGTGGGGTGGGCGGAGCCTCCCTCGGGCCCTGGGGTGGTAAAGTGGGGGCTGCCGTGGTCGGCTCGGACCGGGAGGGGGGGGGGCAGAGGCTCCTCCTTCTTCTGGCCCCGGCTGCCAGGCGCAGTCAGAGCCGCCGCAGCCCACCGAAAATGAGTTCTTCCTCTGTCTGCAAGACTTGGCAAACTTACGGCACCCTTCGCTCCTAATTTTCTCCTCCCTTCCCTCCCCCGCCCCCCACAAGCCCGACCCCCCTCTCCTCTCCTCCAGCTCCTGTTCCCCATCCTCCTCCGATTTAAAGCCCCCCCGCCCCCCCGGCATCGTTCCCTGATTCAGGGCCGTGACACCCCAGAGCGCCTGACACCCCAGAACGCCAACCAGCGCAGTTCTACTTTTGTTTGCGTTTCTCTCTGGCTGCTTCTCCAGCTCGGCTCTGATTGATGTGCGAAGTCTGAGGCTTCAGCCAGAGGTCGAGGAATAAATAGATGCCGCTGCGTCCCAGGGCAGCGCACATTGGGAGAGAGGAGCCGAAGGGGCGGGAGCGGCGCTCGGGGAAGCTCGTGGGACTCCACGAGGGGACTCTGACCCGGCCACGCGGAGAGGAAGGAGAGGCTCCGGATCGATCGATCCCCGTGTCTGCTTCCACCGGGCGGGAGGAGACCTCGGAGCTGACAACTCGCTGTCCCGCCGGAATCATGCTGCTGCTGCTGCTGCTGCGGGCCGGGCTGCTCGCCCTGGCTGCCCTCTGCCTGCTCCAGGTGCCCCGAGGAGCCCGGGCAGCAGCCTGTGAGCCCGTCCGCATCCCCCTGTGTAAGTCGCTGCCCTGGAACATGACCAAGATGCCCAACCACCTGCACCACAGCACCCAGGCCAATGCCATCCTGGCGATCGAGCAGTTCGAAGGTCTGCTGGGCACCCACTGCAGCCCCGACCTCCTCTTCTTTCTGTGCGCCATGTACGCGCCCATCTGCACCATTGACTTCCAGCACGAGCCCATCAAGCCCTGCAAGTCGGTGTGCGAGCGCGCGCGGCAGGGCTGCGAGCCCATCCTGGTCAAGTACCGGCACGCGTGGCCCGAGAGCCTGGCCTGCGAGGAGCTGCCGGTGTACGACCGCGGCGTGTGCATCTCTCCCGAGGCCATCGTCACCGCCGAGGGGGCAGGTGAGTCCGCGGGCTGGCCGCCTTTCCTGGCCCTCACGCCTCCTCCTCCTTCTTCGCCTTTTGTCCTTGATCCCGTTTCCTTCTTTTCGCTGGGGATCACGGCTTACTCCCTCCCTGAACCGCCCCTCTCTGGAGCACCAGTCTCTTTTATTCTTTAAGGCTCGTCTATCACCCTTCCCAACAGACGCTGCCATTCCAATAGCCGATCTTTCTAAAAACTCTACCGACCCTTGGCTGTCTCCTCTCGGCCGTTTTTTAAACCCACACTCTGTTCTAACTTTCTCCCGCGGTCTCAGTCCTCAGATTTCCATCTCTTTCGAGTTTTGTATTTTGTTGTTGTTGCTTATGTGTGACCTTTTAAGTGATCGCACTAAGGGGCTTCTATCCCACAGGTCCGTTTCTGCGTGTGGTGCCTCTTGATTAGTGCCACTCCTTTCATCGTCTTGCCCAGGTCTCTCAATCTCATCCACACCCTCGCTAGGCCGGTCCGTGTTCACTTAGGGACTTAGACTATCACGACTGAACTGGCCCAACCCTTTCTTCTTCCATGGCTCTGTCCCCTCTCCCCTCAGCCTTTGCCCCCTTACAAAACATGTTTCAGCTCCCTAGTATTCATTTGGTTTGGCCACTCAGTAGTTATACGGTTACTGTTTTAACCCCTTAGGGTTGTATGGCAAAAACAGAAAACGGAAGCCCTTATTTTCTTCCACCCCCTCATGTATTAGTGGTAGGTGTTTGTTCAAAATCCAATTTGAGCAATTAACTTCACCTTAAATTTCTTCCTTCTTTCAATGAGAAAATTTGTAATTCCATTATAGATTGAGACTGTTGAAAATTAATCGCTATGCACTGCTAATTAGCTGCTGTGGCTTGCTCCAGTCATGGAGCTGGCAGAGTGAAATCTCTGGGCTCTTTGCACATGCCCACATGCTTCCAAGTCAACCTGTAAAAAGGAGTTATATTTTAGGCATGTTAGCTTCATATTACTGTGAGTAATGTTATTTTAATCTCTCCTCTGGATTTGTCTTTAATACTTTATATCATCTACATGTTCACACCACTGTTTCTATCATGAAACCTTATTGGAAATGGACATTTAATAGAATTAACCATAAGTTGCTTTCTCACTGGTGTAGGGTATAATTATGACATTCATCACTCAAAAGCCACAACTAATTCCAGTTCACTATGGTCCATTTAAGTTTAACTCAGTATTACTGCTACCAACCCAAACTACAAATTTTACACATACTCTCTGTTTATATTTATGTTATATTGAAGTTTAAAAACCCTTAGTGGTTTTCTTTTACAACCTCCTAAAAAAACTGTTCTTAGATGTGTTGACTTGGTTGCCCCATCTCTGATGTGTATCAACTTTTCTTTCTCTGTCTTTCAACACTCTCCTGTATTGGGTCTATTTGCATTGAATGGCTCTTAGTTATCAGAGAATTGCTTTAGAAAAATCACTTTCTGTGCAGTCACTCAAACATAAAGTGAGAGAAGGGAAAAGCACACATTGCTGAAAACTTTAAGATATTTTAATATCTTGATGAGCACTATGTTTACTGCTGTTTGAATGATAGTATTGCCTTCTTTTGCTTCTCCTTCTTTTCCTCTTTCTTCTTTTGAGATAGTCTCTCTCAGTAGCTCAGGTTAGCTTTAAAATTACAATTATCATAGTTCCACTTCCCAAATGATGGGATACTAAGCACGTACCACCAAACCTGCTGCCTTCTTGGTGTTAAGAGCCAGGAGCTACTTGTGTAAAATAATCAGCAAGAAGTGTATTTCTTACTCCTCTTTGGCCTAAAAGAGAACTCTGAGCCTTTGTGCTCTCTAAAGTCGTGGCTAAGCAGACTCTGGAGAATGCAATGTAGTTGCTGTCCTGGTTGACTAGGCACTTGGAATCAGTTAGATGTGAGTGCTCTTCTCAGGTCAAGGGCTAGGAACTCTAAGTGGTTATGGTTCCCTCTGAAATCATCCTCTCCTCAAAGGACAAAATTTGCTTTTAAACCTCTCCTAGAGAGATGGATCAGGAATGAGTGAGGTTTGGCAAGGCTGTTTTCAAGAAGCCATTTTCAGCATGGATGGGAAACAGTTTCATTAAGTGTTCCTGAGTTACCTATCACCATGGACCAAACGGAACAATAGCTCCATTGAAGCATTCATGGAAACAATTTGTTCATCCACGGGACTTGATTTCTGTGCTGGTCTAAATGCCATAATATTTGTTTTGTTGACAGTATTCTTGCCAAAAAAATTAGTAGGAACAAATATAGTTGGAATCATATTTTAATGATCCCAACCCCAGCCTTCAGCACAAAGCAGACTGTGATGCTAGGTGGGAATTGAAGGTGAGGTGAGGATGGAGATTGGCGAGTTACGCTCTAGCTTGAGGGCTCCCCTGGCTGCCAGGAGGAGCTTGTTGGGTCAAAGCTTCAGACACCTGGAATCACTTAGGAACTACTACATGTGGCCAGGTTTATTTACAATGCAATGTACTTCTTGGTTTAGTGGTATATGATATATAATGAAATAGTTTTTCTTCTTCCAGGTAGAAACCGAGTTCCTATAACTTAGGGCTAGGAATGATATATCCAGATAGAAAATGCAATTTTCCTGAATAAAATGGAGAACCCCTTATTGTCTTGTATATCATCAAGAGGATTTTCAACTTCGGCCACTCAGGGTTGTTTGCCTTTTCATAATATATTGTGATTCCACAAGTATCCTTAGGGCATTATGCAATGCCAGGTCTTACTGAAATAGTGTAACGCTTCAAATTATTATTTTTTCTCCTTTCAAATCTCTAAAAGGAGCCAAGCACCAATGGTTCATGCCTAAAATTCTAGATACCGAGGAGGGTAAGAATGGGAAGATCTGGGTTCCTGGCCAGCCTTGGCAAAAAAAGTTTGAAAGACTCCATTTTGATAGAAAAATCAGGGGGTGGTAGTATACACTTGTCATTCTAATAATGGTGGGAAATGTAAATAGATGGATCTTGTCCAGGCACCAGGGCAAAAAGTGAGGCCCTACTTCAAAAATACCCATAGTAATGTTGGGCTCCAGAGGCTCACACCTGTAATCCTAGCTACTCAGGAGGCTGAGATCTGAGGATCAAGGTTGGAAGCCAGCCTCAGCAGGGAAGTCTGAAGTTTGTGAGCCTCTTATCTATAATTACACGCAGAAAAACCTGGAAGTGGCGCTGTGCCTCAAGTGGTAGAATGCTAGCTTTGAACAAAAAAAGGGAGCCAGGGACAGTGCCCAGGCCCAGAGTTCAAGCCACAGGACTAGCAAAACAAACGAATAAACAAAACAAAAAAATACATGGAGTAAAAAAGACTGGAGGTGTTCCCCAACTAGAGTATCTGCCTAGCAAGTTCTAACCCTAGTACTGCCAAAAAATAAAACCCAAACCAACAGCAAAATCAAAACTCAAACTATAACCCAAACATTCTTTTATTAAAAAAAAGAACAGGTTACATATTGCCATTACTAAGACACATCTCAATTTATTCTCACTACCCATTTTCTATGTATTATAGAGCTGGTTTCATGTAATACTATTTTTTGTGTTTTATTTTTTATTTTGGTCAGTTGTGGGGCTTGAACTCTGGGACTGGGTGCTGTCCCTCTGCTCTTCAGCTCAAGGCTAGCAGCATTCTATTCTTGAGCCACAACACCACTTCCCACTTTTTCTGCTTATGTGGTGCTGTGGAATTGAACCCAGGGCCTCATACATGCAAGGCAAAGCACTCTATCACTGAGCCACCTTCCCACCCACTTTTTGTGCTGAACTCTGTTCATCTGGCCAGTCAGCAGGTTAAGTGAAACATTTGATCAGATCTTTAAGATTCATGGTAAATAGAGTATGAATGTAGAGTCAGGCAGATCAGGTATTAAATCTCAACTCTGCTCACCTCAACTGTTGCCAGTTTTATATCTGACTATCTTCCTGTAGGACAATTATGAAACTTCTCTGATGCAGTTTTCTAGTACCAGCCAAATGGGGATACAGCCTAGAACTTTTAAGTAAATACACATACAACCTAGAGCTTGTATCAGAGAAGTGTTACTGGGATGTACTAGAGAAGCATCTTATTTCTTCTGCATATGTAGTTGACATTTCATTTTCTACACATTCTCTTTGGCCTCAGCCTTGAGAGCAAATCCCATTGGGAGTGATAGGATAAAAGAATGAGACTGATGAGTGCCTGCAAATTAGAAATAGTTTACCTCAAAACTTGAGCATTTAAGAAAACTTTGGAGATTTCACAGCTGTTTGTTCAACATGCACAGTTTGCTGTGCCAAAAGCGATATAATCACCCCTCAGTTACTGCTGGTTTCCGGATTGGGCTGATTTGTACCCCAGCTCTTGCTCAAAACATTTGGCAGAGCACCCCCTCAACTTACATGCGCAGGAACTTCTGTTTAATCATTTCTCCCTCTCTGAGGAACAGGCAGCCTTTTCTTTCGCCATAGCCTGCAAATATTTGAGGGACCAAACACCACAAAGCAAGGCTATGAGCAGGAGTATGGAATGGAAATTGCAGATGAGGACTAGAGAGAAAACATAATTCTAAAGATTCTTCATCATGTGAAATGTTGAGAGACACTCTGGATGGGGTGTGGAGGAATATCTCAGTATTATAGTATCGATTTTATTTATTTAAATGAAACCAAACAAACTAGATCATCAGCTAACACATTTATCAGGGATCCTGAGAATATATCTACACCTTATTTTAATGATTCTTTTTATCTCCTTTCCAACAAACTTTCAAGTAATTTTTTTCCAAAGAGCAAATGTGACTATATTGAGCCTTTCCCTTTTATACCAGGTTTCTAGAAGAACAGATTGAAAACTACACATTTAGAGAATAGGACACTTTTGGACGTATATGCCATAAATTGAGTTCTAAGTTTGCCATTAATTTTTTTCATTTTGAACAAGTCATGTGACATAAGGAATTAGAATTAAACAAAGAAATGCTCCCAC